CACCGGCCGATACGCTCCCACAGAGAGGCCCTCCTCAGGGTGCCGTCAACCAGACAGTGTCGGCTGGTGATCCCCAGGGGGAGGGCCTTCTCTGTCGGAGCACCCACCCTCTGGAACGAGCTGCCCCCAGAGATCCGGGTGATTCCAGATCTCCCCTCCTTCCGCCGCGCCCTCAAGACTTGGTTGTTTCAGCGGGCAGGACTGGCCTAGGGGTATTTTAAATTGGTTTTAACTAAATTTTAGTAGAAGCGGCCTATTTAAATGAAATAAAAATTAGTAAAAGAATTTAAAACATACAACATAACATAATTCAACAAAAATTTGACCGACATTCGGCGGGACTCAGGAGGCCCTCTTCCCGCCCCATATTTATATTATTTTAAGTTTAAGTTTAAGTTACTTCATAGGTAGTCCTTGTTCTACTCTTACTACTCAATTTTGTGCCCACAGTTTGAGCGGTGCACACGTGACGTGTTGCGATGCATCGTAACTCTTTTTGCATTGCTGGCAATGGGATGGACGCGGCTTTGGTATGTGGAAACCGGCCCGCAGGCTGGCAGTTTGACACCCCTGAGCTAAAACATTAACCAGGAACATTTCATGCAAGACTTTGAATAAATATTCCATTTTGCTTTTCTGGTGTAATTTGGCATCTTAGGAAATTGATAAAATATTTGGGTGACTAAATAAAATCAGAGCTTTATGACAGTTCTAAACTAGCATATTAGTCACCAAATACTAATACTTTTAATATCACTGTTAAATTTGACTAGTAGGTCACCTGATCTCCTCCCAAAAGATACAAACTGGAGCACTTTGCAAATTGAAAGGAATGTTACCAAATTGTTTAGGCAAAGCAACTCCCTTCAGGTGGCATCAGAATCTTTATGTTTGAAGGGTGCTTAGTCCATCAACTCTCATCACATAGATAAAAGCAGTGAAAAGGGTAAGGACAGTAACTGATAATTGTGCAATTTTCAGGATATTGTTAGAATCAGTTTTCTAGTTCTTCATTTTTGCTGTTCCTTAGGACAGGTATTGATAGCTTCACCGAAACCCTTTCATTCAAAATTATCAAGGAGAAATATCATACAATCAAATGCTCATTTTTAATGGAAAGATTGAACATGTTTACTTTTGCACAATGCCAGATTCATTTTCAAGACAGGTACTCAGTGTTAAAGCAATGTGTTGCATTTTGCAAAACATTGGCAGGCTGTGAATTGCTTGTGGCACTTTCTATCAGGACACCCACACTGAAATAATATTTTAGCACATCTTTTCTTTTCCTTCCAATACCCTTCTTGATTCTTATAAGCCCTTTTGCCATTTTTTGCCTATTCTTTCTCACTGAAGCTTCATAGCATCTCCTTTTCCCCATCACATTAGAGAATCAGCTGTGATTGGGTCTTGCCTGGCCTGGGCTAGGCTTTCCTGGGGTAGCTGTAGCTTGTGCCACTTGCACTGCCATGCTGGGTCATACTGGGGCAGCTGGCACTTTCCAAGTGCCCAAGTCACTGGGCACATTAGGCTTTCTTCCCAAGGTTGAATACAGTGGTTTCCTTCTTGCAGCCCTTGAGACACAGCAAGGCAAGTGGGTCCAGAGCCACATGTTCCTGGGATAACTTGGCACACCACAAGACAGGCTGCAGGGCAACCAAAAGGACAGATGTGGGGTAGAATAGGCAGGTTGGAGGAGTTGAAGGGGAGGCAGACCTTTATCTTGAAAGACTTACTTTCAAAACCAAGGCTCCAGGCTAGGAGGGATCAAGCTGAGACTGACTTGGATTGAGATTGGTCCTTGGCTAATGACCGGTGGAATTCAGTTATCAAAGACAATATGGAATGCTGGGACTGCTGTTGTGAAATGGTGCAATCATGTGAACTTTATGACATTGCTTAGTAATAGAAATTTCAGTCCCAACTGCCACTGAAGTTGAGGACTATATTTTATATGCACATGGAAGGATTTGACATTACCTAGAAAGGAAAAATGGGTGGTGAAGTTGGCTGAGATGACAAAATTGACAGCTTTGATTAGAGAAAAGATATTGATTCACTTTAATGATGATTGGAAACCCCTTTTGAACTTTGTGCGTGAAACAGAAAAAATGAAATTATGTATGACATATGGATTTGATGATTAGAAGAAGTGGTAGATAATAAAAATGAAAAATATATTATAAACTTACTGTAAGAATTTAATGTAAATATATACTTATATCTGCTCTGAAATAAAGTTTTCTTTATATTTGTTTTCTGTATTTTTTTTCTGCACTTTTGGCTTTGTTCTCTGTTTCTTGCTTTATTTTTTCTCTTTTTCTTATTTTAATTATTCATTTCTGTTAGTTTTTATCTTTCTTGTTTAAAAATTTAATAAAGTTATTGTAACTCAAGGATTACTTGGATATGTATATATTCTAATATATGTGTATGTGTAATATATACACACACATTGTAATAACAATATTTAATAGTTCACAAAACAGTTAAAAATAAAAAACCCTCCCAATCATAAAGTAAAATTTAATAAAAAGTCTATAAAACCCCAGGGCAGCACTCTGTCATGCATCTACCCACCATTTTGCTGGACTCCAGCCTTATCATATCTCCATGCTTGTGAGAAGATTCAGCTCTTCAAGGCCTTCTTAAGGCAAGGAGGATGGGGAACTGTTATGGAAAAGAAAATGTTGTCATTTGGGCCCTGCTAGATGACAACATTTAAGGGAAGAGACCTAGAGCAGGGGTCCCCAATCACTGGTCCATGGACTGGTACCAGGCTGCGGTGTGCCAGCAACCAGTCCGCACAAACAAGCGAAGCCCCATCTGCAAGATGCAGGAAGCACACAAAACCACGCCCCCTCCGGTCCACAGAAAATCCTCTCTCCACGGAACCGGTCCCTGGTGCCCAAAAGGTTGGGGACCTCTGACCTAGAGCTCACCCAACATAACTTACCCTCAGAGAAAGATGATCCTGTACATAGCCTAGTCCATGGGTCAGCAACCATGTGGGTCTTTGAGCCTTCTCTTGCTCCCAGTCTCCTCCGCCATTTGCAGAGAGAGAGACAGAGACAGAGAGAGGCACTTGCGCTTCCCTTCTCTCTCTCTCTCTCTCTCTCTCTCTCTCTCTCTCTCTCTCTCTCTCTCTCTCTCTCTCTCTCTCTCCCCCCCTCCCTCTCCCTCTCCCTCTCCCTCTCCCTCTCCCTCTCCCTCTCTCTCTCTCTCTCTCTCTCTCTCTCTCTCTCTGTGTGTGTGTGTGTGTGTGAAAAGAGTGGCCTCACAGTGTTTTCCAATTAGCTGACAAGCTTATTGGGTGGGGCTTCTGCCTTGGCTGCGTCTCTGCAGGAAGCAGGAAGGGCAGGAGAGAGCCAGCCAAATAAGAATGTGTTTCAGTGAAGCCAGCTTGCCAGGTGAGCAGAAGATCAGAGAGAGGGAGAGAGAGGGGGAGGGAGGGAGAAAGAGAGAGAGAGAGAGAGAGAGAGAGAGAGAGAGAGAGAGAGAGAGAGAGAGAGAGAGAGAGAGAGAGAGAGAGAGAGAGAGAGAGAGAGAGAGAGAGAGAGAGAGAAAGGGAGAAAGGGAGAAAGGGAGAAAGGGAGGGAGGGAGAGGGAGGGAGAGAGGGAGAAAGAGAAAAAGAGAGAGAGAGGAAAGAGAGAGGGAGAGAGAGAGAAAGAGAGGGGGAGAGAGGGAGAGGAAAGGAGGAGAGAGGGAGAGGAGAGGGAGAGGGAGAGAGAGAAAGAGGGAGAGGGAGAGAAAGAAAGGGAGAGAGAAAGGGAGGGAGAGGAAAGAGATAGAGAGAAAGAGAGGGGGAGAGAGGGGAGAGAGGAAAGAGAGAGGGAGAGGGAGAGAAAGAGAGAGGAAAAGAGAGGAAGAGGGAGAGAAGAGGGAGAGAGAGAAAAAGAGAGAGGGAGAGAGGGGGAGAGAGGGGGAGAGTAGAGAGAGAGAGTGAGAAAGAAAGAGAGAGAGAGAGAGAGAGAGAGAGAGAGAGAGAGAGAGAGAGAGAGAGAGAGAGAGAGAACTCATGCAGAGCACCCTCTATTTCTTTTTAATTAAATTCTTCAATCAAGGCCCTCCCTCTAGTGCATGCGCACGCAAGATTTGCAGCTCCCAGTGTTTTCTTTTCTGTGGAAAATGGGTCCAAGTGGCTCTTTGAGTGTTTATGGTTGCCGACCCCTGGCCTAATCCATGGGTCACCAAGCCCCGATCCATGGAGCAGTACTGGGCCACGGCATGCCAACAATCAGGCTGCACAAATAAGCAAAGCCCCATCTGCAAGATGCAGGCAGCCCACAAAACCACGCACCCGGCGGTCCGTGGAAAAACCTCTCTCCACGTAACCAGTCCCTGGTGCCCAATAAGTTGGGGGCCTCTGGCCTAGTCCCATATCATTTAGGGTTTTAAAGGTGATACACTTTGAATTGCACCCAGAAAGAAACTAAAAGCCAGGACAGGTCATGCAGCAGTGATGTAATATGAGCACATCATAGAGTGTCCAGAACTGCTTGTGCCATCACATTCTGGACTGGTCATAGTTTCCAGATGGCCTTCAAGGGCAATCCCATGTAGAACACATCGCAGTAATCCAACCAAGCAATGATGTAGGGTGGTGCTGATTCTTATATGCATTGATCATGTGCTTATGTATTTATGCAAACATCTATGTCTCCTTATCTGCCTTAAATCTTCTTTGTGCTGCCACCGAGATTTCAATAGTTTGGAATAGCTTTGCAAACATTGTCTCTGTCTGCTTGACATTTTTTCTCTTTCTCATTCCCTTTCCCACATTTTTTATATCATTGTTTATTTTTCTTGATCTCTTCTTATTTAATCTGCTATGTAGAAATCTATTACCTTGCTTTTCTTACAATAAAGTCTATTACAACTTCTAACTCTTTGGATAATTATGTGATTCTGTCTTATTGAAAGTATTTTAATATTTAACATTTTAACATTGTTTAAGAATGTTCTAAAAGAATAAATATGTGTCTGTGTTTTTTTCTAGCCCCACTTACAGAAAAACCACCAAAGCTTTTGTATCCTTTGGAGAGTAAACTGACAATTCAAGAGACACAGCTGGGTAAGTGACATTCTAGAAGTGCCGATATTGTCTGATCTTAAAATTGAGAAAGGGTCCTTATACTTGTTTCTATGCAGATTATTATAATAATATTTTATTTACCTTAACTATACAATACTTGATGTGTCCTATTCCTTTAGTTGTCTAGAACTAAATAAAGAGGTATCTGTGATTGATAAGCTATATAAAATAAGTGTTCCAGCTGATGAATTGTGTTGTTTACTAAGAAAACTGTTGGATAAACCAGGAAATGGATTTAATTTGACTATACTCGACTGCAAAATTTAAGTTTTCTTTAAAGCACTCTGTCAAAAATAATGTTTTGCATCTGGCAAGATATATTTTCACACTGTCAAAACAGATTTGTTGTACTATAGACAGATTACTCCAGAAATCAGTGGTCTGTCATTGTAAGACTTGACTTTTTGGTTCTTGACAAATAGAAGGCTGTTATTGCTTCCATCCTTATTCTTCCATGATGACAGAGCCAGGCTAGGCTAATGGTACTGAATGAAGGGAGTTGTTTAGCTTTCCTCTGTTCCTGCGGAAATTACAAGTTACTGCTTATTTTAAGATTCAGTCTCATGTTTCTATTTTTCCCATAGTAAAGTCCTTAGTTGATAAAATTTACCACTTCATGAAAGCATTTATTTTCACATATAGAGTCATATATGAAAATCATCCTTTCCCCAATTATCTAAAAGCTAAAATATATTAATTCAAAGGCAATATTATATTAATATTACAACATCTAGCCAGTATTTTACATTAGATGTTCTAAATGAGATATTTTCAGTTATCTCTATGTAAAGCCAGTAATTTTGCTGAACATATTTTGATTGGAAACTTTGGAAAGTTTGAATCTAAATAACTGTACATTGAATCATATTGATTTAATATTATGAAAACCATTTTAATTTGTAGAATGTAAGTTTATCCCCTGATCATTATTGCATTATTGTTGTATTCTTTTGTATTGCTTTCCAAATTTAATATCTACTATACACTTATTACATGTGTCATATTTAATTATGATACTGTTATCTCCTCTGAATCACTCTAAAATCATAGCAGAATGTTGTGTGAATTTGTCTCCTCATAATTTTGATTTGATTAGAAGAACTGCCAATCTAAACAACTGTAATGGCTTACAGTCACCATCATCCTATCTCGAGGCCTAGGAGAATAACCATATATTTAATAATTTCCCAAATGGCATAAAGAGGAAGCTATACAAATCTTAAGAGAAAACCATTCCAAAGGACAGGAATTGCAGCAGGGTAGCTGTGCTTCCTGGACTCAACAAGGAAATATTCTTTAATTGATGGGACCTGGATCGCATCCACCAAACTAGACAGGCAGAGACAATTGGTCAAAAGTGATGCTCAGACATTCATGCCCTATGCCATGAACCACTTTAATGATAGAAACCAGCACCAGAATCCATGTGCAGTTTGTGAACCAGCAAGGTCACACGTGCATAACACATGTCCCCATCATTGCCTACATTTCTTGAAAAACTGAACACTGTATTTATAAGAGTGGTCTGATCAATGCAGCAGAAAGAGGATGAGTAACTTTTTTTCATCTTGACATTGTATTACGAAACCTAGAATTTCATTTTATGCAGCTGCTTTTCACTGATGTGCTTCATCTGTAGCTGCCCATTCAGTCCTACTATCCTATATTCATTTTTAAGATTTGCAATTTTAGCAAAATAGAAAACAAAATAGTGACATTATTTTATTATTTTAATTATATGAGATTTTCTACCCACACAATTTTGGCCCTGTTTGCAGAAGGGTTGTTTGGGAGCATTTGGGTAAAGATGAGTTAAAGGACAATTATGACGAGTTAAGGCAATTAATAGTTTGGACCTGGAGACTATGCCAAAGTCCCAGAGCCAGATCTCTGAAAATTATTAAGTAATCTATTGTAGATAATTTGTGGACTGCCAAAATTTGTATTGTCCAGAAAAAAACACTGGCTAGCATTTTTAAATTAAGCCTTAGAGGTATATCAGCCTTTGGCCAGCTCAATTGCATTTATGGTGGTTCAATAACGTCTTCAAGAGAACGAACCTTAAATTGAATGTGCATAAATTCATCATTTCAACCAGCTCTTACTTTGAAATCCTCTCCTATTAAAATTTATGGACAGGTAAAATTTATGGACAGGTAATTTATTCTTCAAAGAGCAGGGTAACCAGATTCCATGTTTGAGTAACCTGCAAATATACTTACTGAGTAAGAAATAAAATTATTACATAATAGAGAAAATTAGTCAAAAGTTAAACAGGCAGTTATAGTATTTTCAAACTGAAGTGGTTGAAGTGGTTATTTCATAATTTGAACTCATACATTGGAGGCTATAAATAAACCATTCCTCACTTTGTTAATCAGCTACCTCTCAGGATAATTTGTATAGGGGCTATTTGCACAAGTAAGATTGTTCAAGTTTTGCAAGTTCCCTGGAATTCTGGAGAATTCGTCCAGCTATCCATATAGTTCTGAGTTTCATTCCGAAGCAGATGTACAGAGGATGGGAAATGGCCCTGACAGTACTCTTCAAGAACTCTTACATAATAGAAGAGAGCTAAACATTATTTAAAACGTGAAAAGCAAGGTATTTGGAAGTGACTCATGTAGCCTTTCCCCTGATTCATTGGGGGTATAAGGAGGAAGATAAGTAAAGCACAAGATTGCAAGATTCTGTTTTTATAACCAAGACTATAGTTCTAGTCTTCCAGTGGAATTGATTTGTGATGTGCCATGTCTAATGGGGCTGACACCAGCTATCCCAATGCTTTGAAAGAAGATCAGAAAGAAGATCTCCCATTTTATAGCCCAAACATCTTTCAAATTTTTTCTCTTCAAAATAAAATGAGTACAGCCACTTAAACTGAACTTCAAATCAAACATGTTTTTATTTTCTGGTCTAAATGATTTTTATGTTAATTAAAATATAGTTAAAATCTATGTATGACAAAACTGACTTCTGAGGCTGCATAAAGTGAAATATCATTCAAATAACACAATTTTAAATGACTTTTCCTGAGACACATATTTGTCAGAGGGCTATTAGACCTTTTTATATCAAGACTTTATTTAATGAATAAAGCTATTTTTAAATTAATTTGGAATGCATGATCATTTTTCCCACCTGATATTTTTTTTACTTTCTAGAAATATTTTTAGATGATAAAATTAAATCCTAACTAATCACACTTCAGTTCAGCCATGTTAGCATAATGCCATGTCTTATCTGGGTATTTTTTTATTAGTAGGTTGATTGAGAAGATGAGAGATGGATAAGACAGTTAATGCCATATGAAGCCTTTGGCTAAAAGATGTGATTGCAATCCTGTATGGCCATGACTCATAGTCTGTTCAATTACAAAATCTCCCAATGAATAAAAAAAACCAACCCTTTGCATTCATGACTCATATTTACAACCATATTATATATGAACATGGGAAATAACTTTTGTCTCGCATGTATTTTTTTTATAGATTTATTGTATATGTGGCCTTTTTGCAGGAGCTGTTTTTTGTCCTGGCTACACTTTAACCCCTATATTACATGACTTCTTCTGAGTGCATTGTTTCTGCTTTATCTGACTAAATAAATAATGGGGTTTATATGGTACATAATAAATACATTTTTTTCCTAATCCTTGGAGATTCTTTGACAATTATGAAACCTAGTTACTGCTCACATAACTGCTGTAGCAGACACATTAGAAAAGATGTTGTATAAAGGCACCATTTCAAAAGCTTTTGTAATCTGTGGAATTATTTTTACATTTTTTTAGTGACATGGAAGCTAAATATTTAACTATCCACTTCTTTTCACTTAATTTCCATTAATTATTCTCTTAAAGCTGTCCCACTTCCCCCCCCAAGACTCTCACAGAGATAAATGATTTAAAAGCAGAAAAATATAATGCAAAAGCAAACCTGAGCTGTGCCAGAGCAATGTGTATCCAGTTAATCAGTGAATATACTTGAATACTTTTATAAACTAAGGTTCAACAAAATTTTCACCGCACTATCTGCAGTATGTATCAGTCCAAGAAAGCCTATATTTTTTAAAGTTTCTTCAAGAATCATTCTTGGATTTACATTTTAAAATGATCATAGTAGTTAGAGAAAATTATTGCACATTTATGATGCAATTTCTGTTCCTTTTCTGTTTGCTGCTAGTGATACTTTTTTTAAAAAAAGATTTTTCTGAGAATACAGCACCGGAATTATGAATTAAAATACATTTAGTGCATATGTAATTATACTGTACATGATAAAATGGTTGTCCTTTCATAGGCTTTTTCATGTGCTTATTTTAATGGGAACATGAGTCATACCTAGCACAAATTCTATAAAGCTGAATGCAATATTAATGGTCTTATCCTTATTTTAAAAAAGAAGCTAGAGTATAAGACTCCTTCACCTTCCAGAAATTCATAAAGAAATTTGAGAGTTTTTTGGAAGTCCAATCACTGATAATATATATTATTATTATATACTTGAGGTGTCAAAAATTTTAATAGTATATACCACATCTTAATATGATACAGTATATGAAAATCAGTAATGTCACCTGAGGATATTTCTTGTAGAGATCAATAAATATTGAGAATCCATTTCTTCCTCAGTGAAAAGCAATATGAATATAATAATTTATGATGAAATATGTAGTTTAGCAGGGCCATTAGACAAGCCCATCACGGACATGTAGGGTGTAATAAAAGGTCAGGAAATGTCTCGTTATTTCATTTGCCATTGTTGTAGATTATACTGGAACGAAATGGACAAAGTTAATTATCAGATTTTTCTCCCTAAAATGAGTTGACAATTTGCCTAGTTATACTGTACTTTGACTTGAAAGGGATTGTTATTTGCCATTCATCTCAACAAAAATTTTCATAATAAGCCCAAGGTGAACATTGCACAGATTGGGATTATCTGAAATTGTTGCTGAAACATCTGCTAAAGATTCAG